CACCACCCAATCAACTACTTCTGAGAGTACTACCAGCCCTTCTACCAACCAAAGTACTACTGCTGAGAGTAGTAGCAGTCCTTCCACCACACAAACTACTACTGCTGAGGGAACTAGCAGCCAAACTACTACTGTCGAAAGTACTAGTAGCCCTTCCACACAAACTACTACTGTCGAAAGTACTAGTAGCCCTTCCACCATCCAAACTACCGTAGCCAAGAGTACTATCAGAACTACCACACATGGTGAGTATCAGTGTTTATTTGGTCTATGTTTTCAGTCTTTCCTATTTTAAACTTTTTAAAATTCCATGACAATTTTTTTCCTTTTCTGTGATCAAATTATGGTGACCTTTGGTCTGAAGCACAGGCTGGATCTTTTAATTTTTTTAGAATGGATTCAGTTTAGGTCTGATAGTATGCATGGGATTAGCCACTATTTGTCACATTTCTATCTAAAATGACATAGTGCCTTGTATGTGTACCTGTGACCGAAGCGTAATCATATGAGGTGATTCTCCTTTCATAATATGTGGATGATATTTGCGGCTTTCCCTGTAGAGTGGCTGCCCCCTTGTCTCTTACTACTGGGGGCTCCTGTCTGGGGTGGCTAAGAGTGATATTTCAGCAGCAGCTGAGAGGCCACGGGAAGCTCCCATCTGTTTGGGGAAGTTGGGAGATTGGACCCCTCCTTTGTGACATGACTGCCTTGTGACAAGTTCTAGAGTCAGGGCACACTAATCATTAATAAGTTTGTGCAGATTATTTCATATTCACCGAATAATCGCTTTTAATTTGGTCTTGCCAAATTTTGATTTGAAGGAGGCCTGTTATGCAGAACTCCCTCTCCAATGTTCCTTTGGAGACAACTGTTAATGATTAAGATTTTTATACTTATTGGAATAATTGCATTGCAATGTTTGCATCTTAAGAAAGGAAAGTCAGTACTGATTCAGAACATCAACAAACATTTAAAAATGATGGAGAGAATGTTTTTCTAAGAAAAAAGAGGCAAGAACTTCTTTTTAAAAAATAAAAACATTCTTAATTGCCTTGATTTCATTTTCCACTTCATTGCTTTAAAATGATCAGCTTCCCACCCTTCCTGTCAGCTAATGTCATGTTAGCAGCTGAAAGAGTGAGGAGCAATTTGGCATTACGTGAACGCATGTCAGCTCACTTCATTTATCTGCTACATTGTTTATTTTTAATACATGCATACTGTGATAAAGAATTATATTTCTATGTAAATTGCTGCATTGATTGTAACTTTCAAATTAGATTTGTATAAGTGGACTTCTCTGTTCTAGACATATGCCTCAATGGTGGAATCTATGATGGAATCAAGTGCATCTGTAATGAAGATTTATTCTACGGACCCAAGTGTGAGTTCCTCGTGGATGAGATTCCAGTCACTGAATGTAAGTACAATCAGGGAGAACGTGATTACTTTTTCCTGAGGGCAGCCAAAAACAAATTGTTGCTTCCAGATATGTTGGATTATCATACTAGAATAAGGAGATTGTATATGGAAGAAATGTGGCTTAATAGAAGCTCCTTTATAGTGCAAGTAAACCAGGAACCAGTAGAGAAATAGATAGCTCTCCGTTTCCAGTTCTCTCTGGGTTCACAGAGGCTTGTAATTTGCCAGCTCCAAGCAAAAGTGATTAATTTGGACCTAATGTTTTCCCCCAAATGACTGAGAGCTCTCATGAATAGCTGAGAAGGTAACTCGGTTCTATGCTGAATAAAGTTTCTTCATCTAAGGAGAATCAAGGAGGTGAGATTTGGAGATTGCCTCAAAAATTGAAAAAAACAAAAACAAACTAGTGTCAGCACAGGATTATTAAACACAGATCATTCCAAACCAGTCTTATTTCATTATTTGATAAAGTGACTAAATTAATAGAGTAGCGAAATGCTGTAGACACTGGATTCAAATAAGTTAATAATGCGTTCTCTACCCTAATGACCATCTGGGTAGGCATGGCTGGGTGATCATGTGACTGGGTGGCCAACTCAATGTAACTCATCATGCCCGCTGCTCTCCTCAAAGATCTCTACAAGATACAATATCTATTTATTTACTAGTACTGAACATCTTAATGGTGGTAAGGAAAATTACAAAACACAGCAAAATTCACTTAAATCTTGCTTAGCAATGGAAATTTTGGCTCAGTTGTGGCCGTACGTCGAGGACTACCCCTTTTGGTGGGGTCCAAATAATGGTTCTCTGCCCTAATGACTGGCTGGGTAGGCGTGGCTGGGTGGTTATGTGACTGAGTAGGCGTGGCCAACTCAACATCACTCATCACACCCAGTCCCACTTCCCGGCCACTCTACCTTTCCTCAGGACTTGGGCCTATATGTAACAACTCCAGAAATGAAAGGGTTAACCAACCCTTAATTTCCTGATGCAAATGCCCCCCTCAGTGAAAGGATAGGGAGAGACCAGCAAAGCATTCTGTTCCCAACACCAAGGAAAGTAAGACATTGGAGGCTGAGCTTATTAAAAAGCAATATATTGTGTCATAACAGCCAACATTTTACACCGGAGGTGGCAGAGGCAATAAATCCCTTTGACTCCTCAGAAGCAATTTACAATTAAAGCCTATTTCCACTCCAAAAATAATAAATAAATAGCAGAAGGAGAACGATTGACAGTACTTCTATGCAGGCAATTATGAAAGAAACTAAGCTAAAGCTGGATCAACTCCTTCCTTCCTTCTTCCTTCTCTCCTTCCTTCCTTCCTTCTTTCCCTCCTTCCTTCTCCTCCTTCTCTTCTCTTTCCTTCCTTCTTTTTGGCTTTCTAAGTAATTTTTTGGGCTATTTTCGGCCATTTTGGGGGTATTTTGGCTATTTTGGGGGCATTTTTCAGGCTGTTTTTGGGGCATTTTCAGGCCGAAAATGCCCCAGAAAATGGTTGCATCTTCCAAAACGTTTTGAGTGAAGCTTTCCAGAATATTCACATCTTTGGAGAGCAACATTTCTATTCTGGGCATTTTTATCTAAAAAAATAAATATGACTCTTCAAAAAGAAGTAGTCCAAGTCTTAAAGATTGACAGTGTGGTCAGATGCTAAACAGAATGGGCACATTTGGAGGTCCTCTGGATCCCAGAAGTTGCAAGGAGGGGCTTGTCCCTTGGCAAAGTCTGAGTACTTACTAGAGATGCAGGTGGAGGAGATGCAGAGACCCACAAGGCCCGTTCTGGGGCCACAGAGCTGCAAGGTTTCTAACTGTGTTGAGCACCCCCGACCTGGCCAAGTCCAGCTTTTTTCACCCCCTTTATTGGCAAGCAGGTTGTCTAAATGTGAGCTTTGAGGGAGGGTGGACTAAGCCAGGGCCCTGAAAATTAAGAGTTACAGGGCAACCTGAATACTGCCGTGTTTCACTCCTGAGCAAGAAGTTCAAAATAGCAGAGCCTTTTCTGGCAAGCCTTGCCGTCCACAGAATCTGCGGGGGTGGGGGAGAGGAGTGGTGCAGGGAGGCACAGCAGGTGTTGCTGCAAATGAACGTGGCTCTTTCGACTCGCAGGGATCAGGAGGCTGAAATCCTGCACAGGCATTGAGTGGATCTTGTCTTGGGGACTGATTGTTGGGTGCTTGAAAAAGGAATCCCGCAGAAGGAAGGGCCGAGCCCGGGTGAGCAGGGCGGGCAGGATGCAGGGCAGGTGCCACTGAAGCCCTAGCCCTTTCAACCGTGTGTCCCCTGACCACCCTGCTTCCCAGCAACTTTCGCCTCCCATGAACTGCGGCCGGCCATGCCCCGCAGGGGAGACCCTATCCAACCCCCCCATTTGCTGCCCTGAGTGATCCCCCATGCTGCCTCCCCCTCACCTTTGAAGATGAAGTTGTAGTCACCTTCCAGCCCCACCACCTTCACCATGCTGCTCTGTGGCTGAGGCGGTGGGGGCAGTGGGTGGTGCCCGTAGGCAGCAGGTGAGGCTTGCCCATGCACTGTCTCCTCACAGAAGGTCCTGGAGCGCATTGCAAAATTCGGCCTCTTGGCATTCCAGGGTGGGAAAGCGCCAGTGGGGAGAAGTCATCCCGCTTAGCCCCAAAGGTGAGCTGTGTGGCACCTAAGAAGGAGCTGGGTGACCACCAAGGTCCATCCTGGTGGGCAGATCTCTCTCCCCACCGGCCAAATTTCACGATGCGCTCCAAGACCTTCTGTGAGGAAATGGTGCATAAGCAAGTCCCTTCGGTGCTGTGAGGTATGTGCATATCTGCTCTGTGTGTATGTTTAAGGCCGAGAAGGAGGAGAGAGGGAAACAGGGCAGAGGTAAGCAAGCTGACTCAATGAAGGGTGAGACCACAGTGGAAATATGCAGGAGCAAGTGAAGTGGTGGTGGGGAGGTGTCCTTTTAGAAAGGCAGGAAATGGGCACACATACTGAACACTGTGGCTCCTCCTTCTCAGCCTTAAACATATTCACAGAGCAAACACACACTTACACACCTCACAAGGCAGGTGGGACTTGCCCATGTGCCATCTCCTCTCAGAAGGTCTCGGAACGCATCATGAAATTCGGCCAGTGGAGAGAGAGAGACCTGCCCATAACAGGACCGGTCTCGGTGGTGATCCTCTTAGGGACCACAGAGCTCACCTTTGGGCTCAGCAGGGTGACTTCTCTCTACCAGCGCTTTCCTGCTCCAGAGTGCCAAGAGGCCAAATTTTGTGATGCACACCGGCTCTCTTTGGCACTCTGGGATGGGAAATGCAATGTAGATGCCAGCATGAGGGAAAGACAAGGAGCAGGGAAGGAGGAAAAGTGGCCTCCTTCCCACAAGTGGCTGCTTCATCGTTGTCCCCCTCCCGCTATCAAAGTGGATCCTGGATGCTGTAATGGAGAGGCCAGGAAAGACGAGCAAGGAAAGAGGAAAAGTAGCCTCCTTCCCTCATGCTGGCCAATCCGTTGCCCATTTCTCCATTGTGGTGCAGCTCCATGGAGCTTGCTCCACCCATCACCATCGCCCAGATGCCCTCGCTTCCCAAGCATTTCTTTGCCTAATTTCCAGCTCCACCACGTGTCTCATTGCATTCTGCCTGCAGTGCCCATGCTAACTGTCCCTTCCTGGCCAGAGCTGGAATGCTGCTGCATTTAAGTGTCAATAGATGCCAGCCTTCCCTCTGGTGAGCCTGGGCATGTGCTGAAGAGAGACGGGTCGGTTTCAGTGCCTAGTACCCAGATGCCCTCGCTTCCCCCTCAAGCATTTCTTTGTCTACCTGATTTCCAGTTCGGTTGCATTTCTCAGTCGGGTTTCTTGCCACCTCCAAATTGTATTGATAAAGGGGGTGGGTGGCTAAGTGAGGGGTGCAGGAAGCCCTGCCATGCCCAATGAGGGGTGGAGAAGGCATGGCAAGAGGAGTCTCATCTTGCTATACGCACCCCAATTAAAGATAGCAGCAGCCGGGCCGCTCCCCTTCCCCACCGTCTCCAGCACTGGTAGCCAAGTGTCAGCCACATGCCCAGTTGTCCATTCATACCACTCTCTGTGTCTCTGGCATCACATGGTGCCAGTCCACCATGCAGGCCGAGAAGGGCACACCTGGAGTGGAGTGGTGGGCAGCAGCAGGGCATGCTTGGTGAACTGCTCAATGAACTCATGCAGGCAGACATAGAGTGTGTCTAGGAGGCAGATGCAGGCCAGGAGGGTGCAGGAATACTCAGGTGCAGGAATGGCAGCAGTTAGGAGGAGAAGAAGGAAGGGCGCTAGGCTGGCCCCATGAAGGGAGGGCTGCCACCCCACCTTGCCGCCCCCCCCCCCAACCTCAGGCTGCCATCCATGAAGAAGCACCAAGATGCCAAAATGGCCTCAGGAGAGGCTGTCCGAGGTGAGGAGTGCCTGGGAGTGGTGAGGGGTGAGACAAGCCAATGCTGGGATCAGCTGGTTCTCCAAACTGCACACAATCTTAACAACCAGTTCGGCCAAACTGGGCCAAATTGGCTGAATCCCAACTCTGCTTATAGTATACTCATAGTATGCTTAGTATACAAGACCCTTATCTGATGTGACCTCCCAGTTACAACACCTACTGATCACACTAAGGCTTTATATGTAGAACACCAACACTGAATTTTCCTAAATTCTGCTGAAGATGTTACAAACAATCAGAAATCAACCCAAAGGTTCAGATAATGAACCTCTACCCTCATCCTACACCTGAGCTACAGATATTCGCCACTACTGCATAGTATACTTAGATTTCAGTAAGACATTCAATAAAGTAGACCATAATCTACTTCTTGGTAAGCTAGAAAAATGTGGAATTGACAGCATCACCACCAGATGGATTGGTAACTGGCTGGCAAATGTTACTTAACATGTAATTCTTAATGGTACTACATCTACATGGAAGGAAGGAAGGAAGGAAGGAAGGAAGGAAGGAAGGAAGGAAGGAAGGAAGGAAGGAAGCAAGCAAGCAAGCAAGCAAGCAAGCAAGCAAGCAAGCAGTGGAGTACCACAAGTTTCTGTCTTAGGCCCGGTACTCTTCAATATCTTCATAAATGACTTAGATGAGGGAATAGAGGGGGAACTCATCAAATTTGCAGATTTCACTAAAGTGGCAGGAATAGCCAACACCCCAGAAGTCAAACACAGGATCAAAAAGGATCTTGACAGACTTGAACAATGGGCCCTATCCAGTGGTCAGATTCAAACATTTTTACTAACGGTTCTGTGGGCGTGGCTTGGTGGGCGTGGCAGGGGAAGGATACTGTAAAATCTCCAGTCAGAGGTGGTATTTGCTGGTTCTCCAAACTACTCAAAATTTCCATTACTGGTTCTCCAGAACTGGTCAGAACCTGCTAAATACCACCTCTGGCCCTATCCAACAAAAACAAATTTTAATGTGGGGCACCCTGTAGCACCTTGCCAGCCAAAACGGGACACGGGGGATCTGCACACACCCCCTCCGCCTCATTTTATCCTTCCATGGCCTCCTAAAGCACTCTGCCAGCTGAAAACGGGCCACGTGGCCCATTTTGGGGCCATTTTCCAGCTGTTTTTTTTGGGTCATTTTTCAGCTTGTCTTGGGCCTGTTTTGGGCCCATTTTTGGCCTGTTTTGGGGCCACTTTGAATCTGTTTGGGGCCTGTTTTTGGACCACTTTCAGCCTCTTTTGCCCCATTTTTTGCCCATATTTTTCGCCCATATTCAGCCTGTTTTGGGCCCCCTTGTTTTTGATATGTTTTGGGCCCATTTTCTGGCCCATTTTGGACCTGTTTTTCAGCTCATTTTTGGACCTGTTTTTGGCCAGGTTTCAGACAACAGAGGTCTGCAGGAGACCATGGAGTGTGAAAACGAGACACGGGGGCACCACACACAGCTCGTTTTAGCTGCCAGAGGCACAGTGGGCCAGTCCCTTGATATTTCCAGGCTGGCCCTGTGTGGGTGGATTTAAGCAGATCTGGCCCATGGGCTTTGAGTTTGACACCCCTGGTATAGGCCTCCTACTTGAGCAGGTAATTGGACTCAAACACCTCCAAGGTCTCTTCCCGCACTAATCTGAAGTAAAAAAATGTATCAATAAATCAAAAATGACTTTTCAAACCAGATGAGGATCTTTGGATTTAGGCATTTGAAAACATGTTGGCGAATGGGAACACATTTGCCTCTTGCCTGTCATATTTTAGAATTACTTTATGGGGAAGCCACTTGTTGAAGTTCATATGAATATCTCTTTCCCTCTCTTTTAGTAAAGGTGACCATTAATGTCGAAGCTCAAGTAAAAATTACTAACAAAGAGTACAATAAATCTCTGGAAGACTTAACCTCTAAATATTCTCAGGAAATTCAGGCTCAGTTTAAAAGCCAGGTAAGATTTACTGGATCAAGGAAATAGCCTAACTCTGATCAATGTCACCATTTCAATGTAATGTATCTTACACTCTTCTTTAACCAAGACCAGCACTCCTAATTCATACCAAGAATGTGTCTTCTTCCCACTCAGAAACTCGATTCTTAGATTATTAGCTTTCTGAAGCTGGAGAATTTAGACAAGACACAGCACACACCACACACTCAATGCTTTAGGAGGCTGGCTTCTAATTAAAGTCTCTTTCCTGGCATAGGTTTCTTTGTTTATGAAGGCTTTCTTTTACTTTTTCTTCCTTGTAGATGAAAGATGTTTATCGTGATGCCCCTGGATACCTTGATGTGGAGATCTTACGAATGAGGTCGGTGTCTAAAAAGAGACTAATTTAGGCTCTGGGATGATGACCCATTAAGTGGTCTTAAATATGAGTAGAACTTTTCTTCCATTGTGGATCCTCTTTTTTGGTTTAAGTAACTCTCCTTCAGATTTCTTTCTTTTTTTATCAATATGGATAGACCAGGGCGTGAGCATGTCTTATATATACTTTCAGTCACCATGTATTCCAAGAAGCATCTGAGGGGGATGAAAAATGTTCTTGCAAGTAAAAGCAAACAATTGAACTAAAGTCCAGGTTGAAATCCCACTCAGTTATGAAGCTTCCAGAGGAATTTTGGCCTAGTCTGAAACTTTTATTTTAAGCTCTCTTGGAAAACTGTTGTGTGGATTAAATGGAGTAGAAATGGAGTAGAAGTACTAGTTCATTTTGCATTTCATGGAGGAAAGGGGTGGGACTATCACAGTCTTTAGCATATCTTCATGGAGCAATGAAGGGTAATTCAGCACCTGAGGAATTGTTCTTCCTTCATTGTTCTCTTAGGGCTGGCAGCATTATTGTGGAGCACAAAGTCCTCTTCCAAGTACAAATAGAGAATAATGAGGAAAAGATCCAGCAAATAGAGAATACTCAGAAAACTATTACAAAAAAAGTGAGCGATTCCTTGGCAGACATCCAAAGTGATGGGCACTGTACCACGGATTCAGGTATGGTCTAGCTTGATAAACTCTTTGCTGGAATGTGATTTCCTTTGACTGACAAATAAGCAAGATTCCTGGCTACTTCTTTTAGACAAGAGTGTTTTTAGGACAAGCCACCTTTTTTCTGCAGGAACAAACATCCTTTTGGATGGCTTCCCCCTTGCCACAAAATGTAATAGTGGGGAAGGGGGTGTTAGAGCAAGGTACCATATCTAGGCTGCAAATCTTAAAATAGCCACTAGATGGTGGCAAATGCATCTTTTTTTCCTGAATGAAGGCAAATATAAGTGCCCCAGGATAATGTTGCAGGATCCAATCTAGGTCAGCCACTGGGGCCAGAGATTTACTCTTCCAAGCTTTCGGATTCATGTTGAACTCCATTCACAGGGTTCTTCCCTTTACTGGAATATGTGCTTTGGGCTATTTTTAAATTATTATTATTATTATTTTTTATTGTATATTTTTTTTGGTTATGTATACAACTTCTACATACACAATAACCAGTTAATAACTCCCATTCACAATAACTCCAGTTCAGAGTGGTTCGGGTGAACCCCTTGTTCTGACAATCAGCTGGCTCCAAACCGGTTTGCTCCAATGAGCATGTGGGCCCGCCCGTCCACCCCTGCTCTTTCCCGTGCTTTATGTCTTTTTGTTAGAGCACAGCTGATTTGCGTGACAGAGCGGTTTGCCGCGCCTCAGCTGTTTTCTTCAGCTGCAGTTGAAGGTAAGTTTTAGCTTTTTTAAACGTGGAGCACACATGCAGAGTGCGTGTTTGGTGCGCACGCATGCCCACCGAACTGGTTGTTGTACCAGTTGAATCGCACCCCTGACAATAACAGTATATCGTCTGGGTACAATCTCTACAATTTCTATTGAGTACAGATAATAAATCTTATACGCACAATAGTTATGACTATAATACCAAATACCTATTCACCTCCATCTTCACTTATCGTTATTAATTTTTTTGCGTTATTTAATTAGGCCCTCTGTTCAATTTTACCTATAATCAGTTAATAATATTCAACATTATAAACATCATATAAATATCACATTTATAACCATTAGCCTCCAGATAATCATAAGGTTTACTTATCTTAATTATTCAATGTTCATTATTCATTTACACAAATTACTTCACTTTGTTTACATATCCAAATTTCTAATGTCTGCTGCTATTTTTAAACCATTAATAAAATAGTTCCCAAATTAAAAAAGTAATATTTTCCCCATTTCTAATTTCTATCTTTATACTAATTCTTAATAGTACAATTCCTGTGTCAAACAGTATTCCGCATTTATCCTTCATCTCTTGCTCATTTTCATATCTCAACTCTTACTGATTTCTTGGCACATCTCCCATACTCCTCCCTTGGGATCTTGTATCCCTTGGGATCTTGTCTTGATCTAAGTATTTCTTCTATCTCTGCTGCTTGTTCATTCTTTTGAACCTTCAATACACCTTTCAATAATCTTTTCCTCACTTTAGGGGTGTCTTTCTGTGTATCCCCTTCTAACTTTTGATCTCTTGAAGTGTAATTTACCATTTCTATTTCAGTTTTTATTATCTCTTCTTTTTTTTCTTTTTTCTTTATCATTTGTTGTTTTCCCTCCTCTCTCCTTTCCTCTGTTCTTTTTATTTTCTCCTCTACTTCCTGAATTTCATGTTTATTGTTCAGTGTCTTTTGCTCATAGCTTTCTAGTCTCACAACTATGTCATGTATCAATTCTTTTATCTCCCTATGGTTCCTTGTCATCATTTCCTGCGTACCTTGGAGCATCAATAATATTTCTTTACGTAAGACATTTATTTTCCCCTGCTGTCCCATTTTGCCTTATTTTAATAAATTTAAATTTTTACTCAGACCTGTCAAAATTCCAATGTCCCAGTCACACCAAAATAGCCAATATTAGACCAGTTCACACAATCACTCCATTAAATAGTTCCTTAACAATCTCCACTTTGTTTCAAAACTCTAAGCTGTTTCACACTCTCACACTGTCCAGCATGTTTATAATCCTCAAGCTTCTAACAGTTGAATGTTTATGTTTTCACAGTCTGTCTCCAGGCATGAAGTATAATCAGTTTGCAAGTGTTGTTTGATGTATTCCAGCTAATCTGCCCTAGTCTTAACAACTTTTGCTTCTTCCACCTTTTCCAGCTGTATATTGCCTTACTCAGCCAGCAAATAAAATGCTGCAAATAAAATGTCTCCAAAAATATTTTCCAATAATTTCCCAAAGTCCTTCAAATCAAGGTGGTAGTAAAAGTATAATCCAGAATTTTGAAACAATTTAAATTTTGAAAACTAACCAATCCAATCTGTCCTTTATTTTTAGAATTACTTCTGTCTACAATTTATTTTCTTTCTTTTCCAAATCTGACAGTAGCTCCAGGTCTTAGTCGCAGCTATTTACCTCCACTGAGTCCCACTTTCCAAAGGAGGTGCTTTAGGGAAAATTCCATGGCAAAAGTTAGAAGAGTTCTTACCCAGACCGAGCACACTGTTACAAGATCTTTCCTTTCTTCTCTTCCGTTTCAGCTGTCATCACAGCTTTGGTTCACCCATAACGGCCATCTTCTCTTCTGCTGGTTCAAGGGGCTTTCTTTGGGTTAAAAGGGAAGATTGCACTCTCCTCGCAATCACCGAAGCATTCCCTCTATCTTTGTCACCCCTTCAGGGTGACTTTCGGCCCTGTAGAGCAGTGATCCCCAACCTTTCTTATGCTGCGGCCCGGTATCCCCAACCTTTTTTATGGCGCGGCCCGGTACCGGCATTAGCTGGGCGCCGCCATCTTTTTCATCAAAAAAAGATGGCGACGCCAGCGCTTCCGGTGAGCTTTTCCGGGTAGAAATGGCTTTCTACCCAGAAAAGCTCACCGGAAGCG